GGTCTTTGTTCATGGGGTCGTGGATCCCATCTTCGTCGCCAGTGAAAAGTATGCAGATGGAGAGTGATTTCAGCTAAGCATACCTTTATTTAGTTCAGGACAAAGACAACTGACCGGCTCACAGGCCGGTTTATATATGTTCAGAAAACCCGCCACCAAGCACACCTAAACACACCCCCTACTCCCGATAGGCTATTTACAGTAACCGGGCGACCATTGGTCTCCCGGCTGGGAAGCTAGCCCTTTTGATTGGGCCGGCTAGGATCCTCCGGATCCTTTGTCTTTCGACTGAAGCTAACATAGGAATTGTGCCTGGCCAGCCTGGGCAAGTCCGGGCATGTCAGGCTGAATACATTACAGGGAGGGAGAAGGGATGAGGATGGTCACTCTGCCACTGTCGCTGGGGGTCAGGACAGCCATGGCAAAGGAAGGGACGAAGCTGGGCGGCCTTGCCCGCCGGAGCCTCCAGCAGCGGGGGGGGGGGCGACGAGCCCGGTGAGTCTGGTGCTGCTGAGCCCACTGAGGCTGCGGAGAGCCACGCCGGCGGGAAGGGCGAGGCCAGGTGTCCTGGCCCACTGGGGCCTTGAATGGGGAGAGAGAGACGAGGCTGATGAGCCTCATGCAGCCGCCGATGCCACTGGGGGCAGGGAGAGCCGCTCAGAGAGAACGACCCAGGCCAGCCGACCTGGCTTGCCGAGGCCTCAAGTGGGTGGGCCCAGGGACAGCCGCAAATGAGGTAGGGTGCCCTGGCCCGCCAACACCTCGACCGCGGGGAGGGCAGTCCAGATCGCCTGGCCCGCCAGGGCGTTGATGGGGGGGGAGGCCTGGCGCCCTGGCCTGCCGCCGCCTCCAGCCGGTCAGAGAACAGGGTGACTGCTTCCGGCTTGGCCTGCCGGGGCCTCAGCCAGTGGTGGCGTGGGGTGCGGGAAGAGACGAGGGCCCATTTTCTTCCTTACCACAACGGGCCTTCTCCCTAGTATCATTATATAGATATACTGTTGCAATGACAGGTGCAACAGGTTCTTCCAATACCCAGCTTTCATTTGAAAAAGCTAAGTTTCTAGCCCCTAGGAGATACAAGGAAAAAGACTTCACAAGCGAAGCAGCTAGAGACTTTTTTAAAAAGTTGAGAATTCAGAGAACCTGCTACACCTACTGGCCCAATGGTAAATAGATATAATGGTATTCCAGCACTGATTTTTTACAAACTGCAAAATCCCTGTTAGCCCGGGGGGGGGCAGCAACTCCTGGAGGAGTGGACTAGAGAAACAGTGGGGGAAGCAGCCACATGCAATCCCTATTGCTGCTGTGTTTAATCGCAGTCACATCAGCAACAGGGAAACCACAATATCCTGTACCTGCATGGAATACATTCATGTCTGTGACACCCATCAATAATTTGCTTTTACTTTGTGTAAAATGGTTATGTATGAGATATTGTTTTGATTGGGAAAGTTTTACTAACTTCATCCAGCTATCTGTTTAAACCCTCCCTCTCTTAAAGTTAACTGTATCTTTGTACAGAATGATTTGTTAATTTTGTAGTAAAACTTCAGCTTTGAGTAGTGCTGAAATCTGGGCAATAATGACATTTACCTTTGCAATTTTCCCCATTTCATTAATGGTGGCTCTCTCATCTTCAAACTCTGAAAAGGCTGCCTCAATCTTGGCAATGGTCTCCTCATGACTGCTGCAGACATTAGGGAGTCCGTTGGGGAAGTAGAAATGTGGAATGTTTATGGACAAAGGGGCACCAACGACTTTATTTGCAGGCAGAAGAGATGATGTGTTGATGGTTGGATTTGCAGGAGCAGGGGATGGAGTTACAGGTTTTTTCTCTTGTTTAATTTGGACCTAGAAAGATAATGCATGAAATTAATTCTCTTACTAATAAAGAATGTAAAAAATGTAAGAAAAATGGCACTTTCTTAGAAATAGAAAAGCTCTCTAAGGGAACGGCAATGTTGCTGGCACTACTGGACTCTAGCAGCCAACCGAGCGGAGAATGTTGTCATGCCATCATTAAGATGCTGAATTGCCCCTTCCTCTTCAGAACTCCATGCTCCTCACACCTCACCTAGGCTGGAATGTGCTTAAGCTGTTCCCTGCCTATGTCCCTATTTTGTCCTTCCTCCTATCACCTGTACTGTAATGCTGAACATCTAACAGCGGGCAGCGTTCAGTGTTTTCTCCTGACAGTTGTTTTGAGTGGTTTTTGCCCCTATTGAGAACATATTTCTGGTTATTCTTGTGACAGAATCTTGGCTTCAGTCTCCTCAGTGCTGTCACTCCCCAATACCATATCTAGTGGTCAGAATTGGGTCCCTCACTCTCTTCGGAATTCTCCATCTCTGCTTCATAATTCAATTTCACATATCTTCATTTCAGTACAGTTACTTGCAGTATCAGAGAATTTGAGGGTTGTGCAGAAGACCCATGTTATGCCCAATATGTCCCAACCTGTTTACTATTATGGTGCCCAAACCAAAGCCAATGTGGTAACATGTTCACAAATAACTTGATTGTTCATTATTTTTATACAGACTCATAGGATAAGAAACTGGAAGTCAGATTCTAGGGTAATAAAGCAGCTGGGTTCCAAATCATTGAGGAATTTCAGACAGGCGATATATTCCAGAAGAGGAACGGTTCCCAAACTGTTTCTGGTCTGTCATTTCAGACAGAACCCGTTTGAGAACCGGTTCTCTTCCAGAATATATTTGCCATTTCATACACAAACGCTTCTGTCCCGTTTAGGAATCAGGACTGAAGCGTTTTACCTGTCAACCACTTCCAAGTAGTCTTCAGTTCCCTCTCTCGGTTCCGATACGCTTTTTCCCCGCTGTTTTTCGCCCACGCAGGCGATCTCCGGCTTTTTTTTTAACGTTTGCTTTATAGCGCTATAGCGCTATAACAGAATAGCAGTATATCAATCCCACTGGAATGCATGGAGTGTTTTGCTATACTGCTATAGCGCTATAGCACTCTAAAGCGAACGTTTAAAAAAAAAGCTGGAGATTGCCCGCACGGGTGAAAAATGGCGGGGGGAAAGTGGGAAAAAGTGGTGCAGTCTGAAATGGCAAACCACTTCAGAACCAGCTCTTTACCAGAAGGGGAAAGCCCTGTGTGAAATGGCAGCCCTGTACCGGTTCACTTTAAAAACCGGGTGAAACTGGGTAATATGAAATTCCTCACTAAGTAGCTGAGGTTTGGCTTCCACTGCTAGCCAAGTAAGCATATGCAGTGGTGCAAATTTGTTCCTTCCAAAAGGTGCTGACATCAAACAAGGAAGGGTAGAATAATGGCCAGGAAGAGAGACAAACTTGAGTGACCAGTTTAGAGTGATGTTTCTTGAGAAAATAAGGAAATGATATGAAAATATTAACTGGCTACAGGATATGGAACTTCCATGAATAGCAGCAAAAGGCTAGCCAAAAAGAGCGGGTGTGAATGCATTGTCAGTATGGGCTCATTAAACCATACTTACAGTTCCCCAGATGAATGCCAAGGTACACCTTGAGCACAAATTAGAAGGCATTTTTCTTCCACTTACTAAAAAAAGGCACTTTAGCCCCAGTGGGGCTAAATATGGGGAATATTAAATGGCAATCACACAACCCCCCTTCTGCAGTCATTTAAAGTGTATTTTCAGCAAAAGAGTAGAACAAAGTGTCCCCAATGAAGCTGACATTTAGGGTCACCAATTAAAGAATGCAGCATGAAATACGTCAATAAAGAGAAACACACAAGAATTTATTTCCTTTAGCAAAGAGCAGTAATCATTTTCAACTAGTAGCTTTATTAACATTATTATCCTGGAGAGGTAACTGTTATCAGTCTTATCCTTTCGGTTCTCTCCCCTTGTTTACCAATAGGACATTTTGTGTGCTAAGCCTGGAAGGCCTATTTTTAAACCTATTGGTATCTGCTGCAAATAACTTTCTGCAAATAGAAAAGCCTGAGGGGGGGACAGTTCCAACCCCTGGTCCAATAAAAAGATACAAAGAGGTAGAAAAAGAAAAAGCACATTCAAACCTGGGCCTGCTGGAATGATTTTAACCTCTTCTTGAATCTGGATGGAAGAACAAAGTCACAGCCTTTTGCAAGGAAAGCTAACTCCCCTCGTAAATCTGGGTCCCTTCGCAGAGATGTTTCCTTGATCATCATCTTGGCTAGTTCCTGAGCAAGCGTCTTATCTTCCCAGCAGAGATACAAAGTCCTTCTGGGAGATCACTTCAACCACTATTTTCTCGGTTTTGTTTTTTTATGGTCAAGAAGTTCTATGTGAAACATACCTTGTCGTCTTCTTACTCACAGCAATAATGTTCAATCACTGTACCTCACCCACAAGGCCAGAGAACTTTTTCTGACATTCAAATAATCCCTGAGCATGTGTATCTCCGGATGCCTCTTTGCAATTCTTTATCAAGAGGCATGATCTACGCCAGAATCTATGTCCCTGCTGGCTACATGACAGTCAGACAAGCTGTCCTTGGCTTGTAATAGAGCAGAGGTATTGTGGGAAAGGAAGCACCCACAACTACTACCAGTGGTGCTAAAGTTAGATATACTGCAGAAGTAGCTAAATATATCACCTTCACAGATAGTTCTTATTTTATGAGCTTCAGAGGTGAAATTTGAGGTGCAAACTTAACAGT